GGATTCTTTTATGTTGTATCTGATAGATTTACGTTGCTCATCACAATTATATCTCCAAAACAAGCCAGAGATCAGGATGAGGAGAGAAGAGGGTTGAATTTATAGGAAAATTAACAACAGTAAAAAATGTGAAATGACTTGCCCAAAGTCACAACATCACAGGCAGAAGCAAGAGCAGAAGCAGGCCTGCTGACTCGGCTAGTGCCTACTCCTTTACGACATGCTTCCTGTTTGATCACAAAATCAGCATGGGTCACATCCACACTGATCTCAGCAGGAGCTGCTTTTGCCTGAATAACAGGCAGCTTTGAAGATGAAAAATTCTGGAGGCTCCAAATACGGCTGTTGCTAATAGTAGAGCAACAGCTTTACTTTTACTTTAAAAAAAAAAAAAAAAAATCACAGAAAACCTCAATAGCAAATCAAAATTTAATCTGATCTCACTCCTCTTCTGAACACGAGAGTTTTAAGGGTCTTTCCTTCTCTGATGTCCTCCCACTACACAATTGCTCTCACACTAGCAGATCATACCGCCACCCCCTCTCCTTGAATATATATTACTTCTCAGCAGGCTCTGGCAAGAGTATAAGGAGCCAATCTGTGAGGGAGTGAACACAAGATCTTCCATAATAGCAGAGAGAAGACAGAAAATTGCTGCCAAAAGTGTAAATTGCTTTTTTGCTTGAAAAGAAAAAACATTCTGGGTTTCAAAGACACCTTCTTACAAGATGACTCCACAGCCGTTAATATCCATGTTTTACATATTAGGCCTTTTGTTCTTCTACGCCCTCTGAGAACCCTTGCCAGATACATGACTGCATCACATGGATCTGAGGAGTAACCCACCAGCCGGTGAGCAGTGGGCAGCTATTAGGAGAGGTCAAGGGAAGGCGTGGCTGGCTGCTCCCTAGACAGCACTGCTTTGCTGCTGGCATTCTGAGGACGCTGTGTGAAGATGAGACAAAGAAATAGCCTTAAATAAGGACAGAAGCTAAGCCTAAGAGCCTCTCTCTTGAGAAGCTGCCTGCAGAAAACCAAAGTCAGCAATTCAATGTCAGAGCAAGTAAGAGCTCCTGGGTTGAAGGACCAGACCAAAGTGATCCCCTAGGACTGCGTACGAAGCCCACAGAATGGAGTAGGTTGGCCCCTAGAAGACAGTGCAGGAGACTATTTAGTGCATGAGCCCTGAAACTAGAAGACAAGCAAGTCCTAATTGTCATTCACTAGCCTTGTGGTACAGGACAAAGTCACTCTCCAGGCATTTCCTTATTTGACAAGTGGGATAATTATAGCATAATCTTTATATAAGGATTAAATTTTAACTCATGTGAAGCATTTTAGACATAATTAACTTTCAATAAATGATAGCTATGATTAGTATTATTTTAATTAGCAGGATAACTATATACTAAAGCTCAGAGCAAGAAGCAGACATAACCAAAAGCACATTATCCGGCCACCTTACATCAAAAAGTTTGGCAAGTCAAAAGAGGAAAGAGAAGACAAGCAGAGAAACACTAGCTGGTAGAAAGGACAGAAGACTTATTTATTATTATTATTATTATTATTATTATTATTATTATTATTATTATTATTATTTTGGGCAGAACTGGGGATTGAACTCAGGCCCTTGTGCTTGCCAGGCAATCGCTTATTCTACTGAGCCATCTCCCCGGCCTCAAATTTCAGATCTAAAACAATCTGCCCAGAAATGTTAACTGGCATATACTACCAAATGGTAGTTCAATACAAATCAACTTAATGGAGTCAACAAGTAGGAATTCGAGGGCTAAAATATATGACCCCTCTTGCTTGCTCCTCACAGGCTCACTGTACCAAAACGGCTTTGTCAAGTTCCAGTCCAAGAGAACCCTGCTGACACCCATGGAAACCTGGCTCAAGGGAGACAGGCTAACATCCTGGTGCTACTGAGGAAACTCTCTGTCTTGCCACTGCCTTGTTTAGTGGCATGAGGGGATCCGCAATTAAACTCTAAAGCCAAAATCTTGTACTCAGCAGTATTTCTGGAGAGTGTTACTCTTTTCATAAGGTCCCTGTGTATGTCTAATCAATATGACTCTAGCATGTGGCCATGAAGATAAAGTGAGTCGAGTGTGCCTGCTGGATTTGAAGGAGCTAGAGCTAGTCCTGAGACTAAGAGATAGTGCACCAAGGAGAATGTGGTGTTTAACTCAGACTTCAAATGGTGAAAACCTGATGAATAACTGAAGAATACACTGATTTAAACCCCTATCACTGCTAGTCAAATAATACAGCTTGGATGTGATCTGAGCCCCAAAGGTTCATGTGCTGAACACATGGCACCAGAGCAGAGATGTTAAAAGATGGTAGGGTGTGTATGGTATGGGGCCTGTTGAAGCAGATGAGGTCAAGGGAGCATCACCCTGCAAGGGGATGCAGCAGGTCTCATGAGGCTGAATTAGTTCCCAGAAAACTGGTTGTTATAAAGGAGGTGGCACCCTCCACTCCTTCTTCCCTCTGCAAGTTTTCCACCATTATGATGTCATCTACCATGAGGCCTTCACCAGAAGCAGTTCAGGTACTGGCGTTATGCCCTTGGACCTCCAGAGCTGTGAACTAAAGATGCCTCTTGTCCTTACAAATACTTAGCTTGAGGTATACCATTATAGAACACAAAGCACATTACTAAGAGCCCTACTCCAACCTTGGGTCTTCATCCACCTCCAATTTATTTTCCATTCCAATGACATGGAGACTTATAAAACCTAAACCTGCTCATGTTGATTCCTATTTCAAATTCTTTAAAAAGGGCCCAGGGAGAGAGCTCAGATTAAGCACTTGCCTGACAAATGCAGGGTCTTGCGTTCAATCCCCTGTACCGCAAAAAAAAAAAAAAAAAAAAAAAAAAAATTCTTTAAAGGCTTCCTACAACTTCAGCATAGAGTTCAAACATCTTAGTTTGTATGGCACTAAATGACCTGAATGCTACTTTCCTTCTTTTGCTCTTCTCTATGAAGACCTTTTACACAGTTTTTTCTTCTATCTACAAAAACTGGCCCTGTCCTCTGCCTGCCCTCTCAACCTCCAGCCTCCTCCGTGTCATATAACCTTTCCTGCTTAGCCTCCCCTCATCACCCAGACGTTGCAGCCCTTCCTCACACAACCTGGACTCAGCTGATCACAGCGCTGTCCACAGTGAGTGCTTGGTGGCTGCCTGCCTCTAGTCTGCCCTACAAATACCTAGTTTGTATTCACCACACATACCCAGAATGAAGCCCAGGGCCTGATGCATAGCAGGGTCACAAACACATTTTAAGTAACTAAATGAAGAAACACAGGGAGAAAGGGACAGAGGCAAGGAGGTAGGAAACCACAACACAGAAAGAAACTATTTGTGAGCATGGCTAAAGATGGAATTAAGTTTAAAGCAGGGTGCCTGGGACTCTGGCCACAGCAGAAAAGGAGCTGGACAGTTCCTCATCTTTCTAGAGCAGAGACTGAGAAGCAGTTTCCAAGGGAAGGAAGCTCTGGCACAAGGAGAGGTGAGATAATGTTTGATACTTCTTAACTATCAAGAGGGCTTAGAATGTGGGCAGGGAAAATGAAAAAGGAACTGTATTTGTTAGTTTGAGATAAAATCAAAGGAATGTCAAATACTGGCACCAGTAAGATAACCTTGGACAATTCATTTAACTTCCTTTAATGAGGCACTTGAATGAGATTAGTGATGTTTAAACTGGGTTCTGAGAAACCTGGTCTCTGCCGAAGCTCCTCAGGGTCTAACAACACAGAGAAAGATGGGTTTGCCAATAGTGGTGACCCTAACTTTAACTAGAGAAAGTTTCTTACACACTGAGGTTCTACTTAAAGTTTTTGGGGTTTTTTTTTGGGGGGGGGGAGAAGAATATTTCTGCTAGAAATAAAATCCGAACTGCAGTGGCCTGACTGATTTTCTGATCCCTCCCAGGCTAGCAGTTTCTGAGTCTATGGGACAGATGGTGTCTATCTGCATGTTACATTCTACTTGGTACAGATCCCCAGGTGTGATGACACAACTGCAGCAGTTCTTCTTTTATTGTTATTATTTTTATTTTTTAATGAGAGTAAAAATTAGAATTAAAGCAAAAAATTACAAGTGATACAGAATTTCACTTAAAGTAATATGAATTTCACAGTCTTTGTTACAATACATAGTGTTGTCTTCCAACCAATTATTCATATCACCAGATATATGCATGTAAAATTGGAAGGAAAAAAAAGAAAAATATATAAGAAAATTTTTAAAAAGTACCAACAATTGAAAAAAAGGAGACAAAATTAGGTATCATCTGCTCCTTTCCATACACCAGCAGAAATGCACAGTACAGTTGTCCAAAGCATCCTGCTTATATACACAGATAAATCTCTTTTTCTGTTCACATTGCTTGAGCAAAATACTGGAAAGGTAAGTAACCCAAAGTCCAGGTTCAGTGCAAGGCTGAGACAGTAATGAAAATGCACTTTCAGCAGAATAGCACAAAGGCATTTTTTTCCTAAGCAAAATTTTATATACCTAGGACTTGGACTCATTGTATTAGTATCTTCAGGTCAGACACAAAGATGTTACAGGAATAAAGAATATTCCTGCAAAGATCTATAGCCCATTAAAGAGAGTCAAATTCAAATTAAAAGAGAACAATGCAAAAATGTACTTAGTGGGCCCACCTGATAGTACATAAGTACAAAAGCAGTTCCAACTTTTTCTGAACAAGGTATTCTGAATGTGATAAAGAATAAAGAAAAGTCACTGTCATTACAACTTTCAAGTCTATCTTTATCTGGTTACAGACAGGAAGTGACACAGATAGTGAAGGAGATGGAAGTCTTAAAAAATAAGATATTTCAAAGTCCTGGCTTAAAATGGAGATCCCTTTTCTGTGCTATTTCCTCAGCTACCCATATATGTGGGGCATTAAAAGGCCACGAATGTCATCCACTTCAATTTTGAGAAAAGACAAGCAGTAATAATGTGATCTTACCTGGGTCCTTCCTCATCGCCCTGAAAAACAACAGAAAGAAACAGGATTAGAAATCATCCTTGGTAAAAACTGACTTAGATTTCTTTCTTCTACTCTTTTCCCAATCTGAAGGCAAGACTATACTTAAAAAAGAAAGAAAAAAAAAAGAAAAAGACAAACCAGTGGCTATCTAAAGACTTAGATATCTAAGGATTAAGACAAGGTCTAATATAAACCCTATGCTCAAACTGCCCAGCAGCGACTAACCGATAATTTGCCCTTGCAAGCGGAGAAGTGAATGCTCAGACCTAGGAGGCCGAAATAATAGCCAAGCTTTTTTCTTTCTTTGCCTGGCAGTATTCAGTTCTGGACAAACTGAGAGCCCCAAAATAGCAGCAGGTCTTAGGCAAAAGCTGACCAGCTGCAAAAGAATCAAGCTGTTTCTTTTAGACTCATTTCTGCCATGGTCTAGCATTTTTATGTCTAAGCACATACACAGCAACTCTAATAGACAACATACTAAAGTGGAAAGGATACCAAATTGGGACTCAGAAAATACTTTTTAAGTATGTGCCCTTAGGCAAACTGATTAATCTAAACCTAAGATTTTTTCTCTATGAAAAGGTATTTCTAGCAATAAATAACCTACATCATTCTTTAAACAATGACTTCTTGTCTATTCTGCAAAAACAATGTGTGAATGTGATTTGTCCAGGCATCGCATTCTTTCAATCTAACTTTATCAATATCAATCACAGCAGATTCCTCTGACTGTCCTTCTGTGGCCAGACATCATCTTTCAAATGATTCTTAAGCCTTTTCTAAGAGCATTCAAGACATAGTATCTTTTCTCATCCTTAGTTATTCAGCATGGTCTCATCAGAGAATGTACCTCTGGTTGTATTCTCCAGAGAAGAAAAGAATAAATCAATGAATGACTTCTGCTAGTATTCAAAGGACAATTAAGTGGGAACCAGACATTCTGGGTTCAGATCTTGACTGTGTCACTTTCATGATCTGTGACCCTAGTCAAGTGATTTCTCCTCTCTTAACTTCAATTTCCTAATTTGCAAAACAGGGTTGTACCTATCTCTTTATTATAGGATGGGTAAGAGCAAATAACTTACAACCATCAAGCCCAGTGTCTGAGACACAAAATACACTCAATAAAGGGCATTTATCAATTTCAGTGGTAACTCAGTAAGGTTCACTAAGAAGCTACTATATATAGGTGCTAAAGATTAAATAACCCATAATGATCTAACCACTCAGACGGTCCCAATCAGGAGTATGAGAAACATGCAGAAAGAAAATTAACTACAGCTAAATATGTTAAGGGATCTAACAAAGACATAAACAGAATGATTTGAGAGTCAAAAAGGAAGTGATGAATATTGCTTTTTCTTGAGAACTTGGGGAGGGCTTCACAGAGAAGGTGACATTTACATGGCTGCTTGAATAAGAATTTACAGGCTGACAACAGAGACAGGTGGAAAGAGCACTGGAAGGGCAAGAGCAAGGATAAGATTTAAAATATTTATTGCTTAACGAACTCTGAGTTCAGTGGAACTAGAAGACAGGGAGGCGCGTGTACCTTGGGTAGGGGGCACAGGAGCAAGCTGAGGGTGGGGGGAAGCTGAGAGTAAGATAGAGACAAATGGACACTGCCAGGCTGCAAGCCTGTGAAGGACAGCTGCAGCCAAGGAGGTAATTTAAACCAGACTACCTACTAGCGAGTGAACAGGAAGGGCATTTTAACACACTACTTGGGGCCTGTGCCAGTAGTAAGAGTGCTAATCATCCATATTCCAATGAGAGGAAAGCGGGCCGAGTGGTGAAAGGAGGACACAGGCACAGTGGGAGCTTTCTCTGAATTCTGATCAACTGACATGTCTCATGAGAACTATAATACAGCAAGAGAAAGAGGCACATGATTTAAATTTCATATGAGTTACAAAACTATCTGTGGTGCAATTAAAGCTCAACACAATTTTTCAATTATCTTTACATGTCCAACCATAACTCTCTCAGAGTACCTAAACTTTTCCCCATGATTTACAGCAAGGCCCCCTCACCATCACACACTTAGTGCAATGGGAGTTCTGAATTATAAAAACATGATCACAAATTAATTCCAACACTAAAGCTTTTGGCAATTTACTCAACTTTTCCAAGACTCACTTTCTTCATCTGCATATGGAGATCCTAATTCTTACCTCAAAAGGTTACTGAGATAAATGAATAAATTCACGAGAAACACTAAGCAAGTGTCTGGTACATCACAACAAATGGTCCTCATTATCTTATTTTCCATGATTATAATTAATAACATATCTTGGGGAGAATCAGGAAGGAAAGATAGGGAATGAGGTTTTGCCACAAATTCATCTGTTTCTGCTGCTTACTGATGTGCTTTTCTTTTCAAAAACAGCAGTCACTATCACAAAACATAGGGAAGGCCTCGATAAGTGTTACCACTGAAAGTATGAGTAAAGCAATGATGAAAATAAATACACACACATGAATTCGAGGCTCACTTGAATAGGTCAGCACTGAGATGACGAACCGACCAGTGTAAGAGGTGCACAAGCTCTTTCTGCTGCCCAAAATGTACACGCTGATCCCTAAAGCCTAGCTAATTCCTACCTACCCTTAAGATCAAGCCTTCCTCGGACACTTCCTCACTCAAGAGTGTAGGGGGATAATCCTCCTCTGAACTCCATGTCTGTGGAGCTCGTCCTTCTAGACTAACACTCAAGAGAGGAAACTGCTGATGACACCACTGTACAGTCTCCATCTTTGGATTTCAAATCCTGGAAAATAAAAACTGTGTGTTGCTCATCTCTGTATTCACTGCACCAAAGGCAGCACAAGGCACACAGTAATAAGAAAAGAAGGTATGCAAGGTGGAGCAAGGCTGAAAATTAATTTCTCTTCCCAAATTAATTCTAACTTCAAGAATATTAGAAGCAAAGGTGTATTAAGCACTAACTCCCATCTAGACAACGTGTTAGATTTGCCAGTGCTTCCAAGTCCCTCATCCTGGAGGTTCCTGGTCGGCAGGCTGCAATTCAGGGCAACTTCTCATTCCTACCTCCACCAGCGGAAGTATTCACCTAGATCTGAACAACTTACACCTCAAGCCTGTT